GGGCCGGTGCGGCCGTTAGGGCCCGCGCGCGCAGTTGGGGGTGGTGGGTGGGTGTAAAACTGGTGCGATCCCTTTTTGTTTTGTTTTGCCTGTTTTCTGTAGGTTAAGGTAAGGGGGGATGTTTAAAAGAGACCTTTTAAGATACTGTTTAGAAAGCAAAATCACCTGTTAATCCTTTAAACTGGCTTCTTGGTCGGTCTGTGGATTTTAATACAACTTGAACTTTCTTTGACCTCTCCTGCATTTTGGGTTTCAGTTCACCGGGATGATGTCCCTTGATGTATCTGACAGTGCTCAGATCTATGCTGCGTTCCTAGTTTACCTGGACCTCTTAGAAGGTAATTCAGTGAAGTGAGCAGACATCTCAGCAAACATTTTGATAATCTTAGGTATTAGGGTATAAAAGCTTGAATACCGGAAGTTGTGTTGATAACAGAATCCTCTGTTCTAGATTAAAAGTTACTACATTACCAGGATTCCCTCTTAGTAAATGACTGGCGTGTGCCAGCCTAATGAGAATGCCCCTTTTCTGGAAAAGGTGGAGTATTCCTATAGGAAAGAAGACAACTTTGAAATCTGGTAGCAATAATTATGACAAACTTAGTGTAGTCTTCTAATGTCTTACAATAGTTGAATAAAGAGGGTTATGTGATGCATAACACCCTGTCTGCCCTTCTTCCAAAAGGGATTTTTGAGAAGGGACTGTACTTAGGCAGCCAGCCAGCATAATAAAGCAGCTGTACTTTCTCTTGGAGACTGGTAGTTTTCAAGGTCAGGGACTGGAGAAATTTTATGGACCAGAAAGCCCTGTATCTGCTGTCGTTGTTGTTATACCTCCACAGAAAAAGGCTTAATGAGCCTTAACAGAAAACTCCTGCAGTCAGACATTAAAAAAAAAAACTTTTAGCCTCATCCCTTCAAGCAGAAGGGAAAAATTGTGTTCTGTTACCATGCTTTTAGCACCTATTCACAGCTTAGGTATTGGTAGGTTTCAAACTTTGACTACAGTTTTATGGTACAGATGACTTCAAAACAAGATAAACACCATTCATCATCTTCCATATGTAAAACAAAGATTTGTGGATCAGATCCCCATCTGCCATCAGTGTAGCTTTAGAGTTCGACTGCTACTGATCCTTTAGGTTTCCTTAACAGGACTACCTCTCCAACGGCGAACTCAGGAGTTGGCTGACATCTCTCACAGCAGATACTTGGAGGAGAGGGAAGGAAATCTGTACCTAAAATGTTAAATTAAATTCCAAGTTTGGTGCCTGAATGATAAAACTTGTGTTTTTTG